CTTGATTAAAGAAATCACTTGGCTTTGAAACAAAAAACATGTTGATGTCCTCTTTAAAACCTTCAAAATTTGCATACGATTTCCCATTAATATGGTGTTGCAGCGAACGAAAAAGATGGTGTTCTGATGGTGCCATATCTGGAAAATATGGTGGGTGGGGGAGAATTTCCCAACCCAACTCCATAATCTTGTGTTGCGTCAAACGTGCCACATATGGACGTGCATTGTAGTGAAGAAGAAGAACACCTTTCCGATTGAAGAGTGAAGGGTGTTTCTGATGAAGGGCTCGATTTAAACGTTCCAGTTGCGAACTATAGATCTCTACATTGATAGTTCGCTGTGAATTGAGGAGTTCGAAATGAATTACTCCTTTGATGTCCCACCCAATGCAAAGCATCACTTTCTGCGGATGGAGTCCAGGTTTTGGGGTCGGAAGTGGTTTTTGTCTAGGACTGAGCCATTGTTTTTAGCATTTATATGGTCCCAAAATAGTTGACGCGAATTACGCGCCAGAAGAGACGAAGCAATGTTTACACGTTGAAAACGATGATCATTGGAGAGTTCGTGAGGCACCCAAACACCTTCTTTATGGAGTTTTCCCATATTCATTAGATGTTTACGTATTGTTTCATGAGAGACATGCAATTTCAGAGCCATTTCACGAGTGTGTTGCCTTGGGTTAGTCTCAACAAGCATCTTCAGAGCATCAATATCAATTCCAACACTGTTTTTAAGGCTAAAGTCACCTGAACAAAATTTGCTGAACCATCGTTGACACTTACAAACTTTCAAAACATTTCCATAAACTTCTTTGATATTCTTTGTGGCGACAGAGGCATTAATTTCACTTCTTGTATTCAAACAGCATTATATGCCGAATGTGTGTGTCTTGTCGTGTGCCATCACTATAAGGGAGTAGAGTATACTAAATTTTATATATTATATTGGCTACACCAACGTGACCAACTTTATACATTATATTGGCTACACCAACGTGACGTTTAGGCGGTTCGTTTAAGTATTACGTGATGTACGTTTTTTTTGGGGGGGGGTCAATGAAAGTGTTCAGAAATGCGACATTAATTTCTTGACGACCTAATACAAGGAAAGGAGCTGAGTTTATGTTATTCTCACCATTAGAAGTCCCGACCTGATGTCATACGAGAGAGGGAGCTAATCTTACATTATTGTTACAGAAACTCTCCAAATATGATACCAAAAATGACCATAAGCTTATATTATTTCTATGGTAAAATGTCCACATGTTGTAATAAAAAAGAAAGTTAAGCTTTTGTTACTTATGCAGTTAAATGTGTTGATATTATACAAGAAAAACAGCTAACTTTGTGTTATTATACTATAATATTAACTTATGTAACATAAAACAGAGGAAGCTGAGCTTATGATATTGTTACTATAATACATACTGGTATTTAACGACTGAAGGAGTTAAACATGTGAGACTATTAGGGTAAGATAGCCTGATATTATAAAAGAAAGAAAGCTAAGCTCGTATTATGGATACAGCATAAATGTCCTGATATTAATCGGTGAGAGTCAACTTTCTGTTATTGTTACAGTAAAATTATCTGATATTTTTCAGACTAAGAAACTAATATTTTTCTACTGTTACGGTAATAAGACCTAATATTTTATCAGAACGAGAGACTTAGTCTTATCTATTGTTATGAGGGACAGGAGTGATAAACATGTATCTTTTAACATAAACCGTCTTTTTTTGTTCTGGCGATAATATATCGTACTGGACTATTTTGCAGGATTACCAACGATGTTCACGAACAAGAAATGGAAGAAAACATGCAACAGGTTAACACAATGGTTGGAAATCTGCGTAACATGGCGATAGATATGGGAAGTGAAATTGAATCTCAGAATAGACAGTTGGACAGGATCAACCAAAAGGTGATGAACAGCTTTCGTTAAAGAAACTCTTTTGTTGTAATTTTCTTTAAGTGATATTTGTAAATACTGAGACCTCCCTGCATTCAAATGTACCTGAATTCATATGATGATCTCTCGAGTCCGACTTTAAATATTTAGCTTTATTAGGTTCTGTAACTCTGTAGATTTAAATGTGCAAATCATATTAAAGGATTTATAAATCTGTTTTATAGTACTACTTTTAATTAAACAATTACATTTTAACAAATAATTTTAATTAAAAAAATAAACATGGTAAAGTTATGAATAACGGTAATCTAATAGATATTCATGTTGAAATTGCCTTAGTTTTTTTTCGAAATGTTTGCCAAAATACTCCAGTAAAAAACTAAAACAAGACGAATGTTTGTTTTAAATATTGCACATGTGTTATCTGTTACTTTTAACAAGCTATAGTTAAGTAAGTAAGTGTGACTTCGATTGAATTTTTTATGGTTACTGTTGCGTCAGCGAGGTCACGTGACTATTGGCACGCCACCTATTTTCTAGAAGTATCTTGTTCCTTCG